CTGTATTCAAATAATTTACTGTATGCAAATAAGTGCAGCCTTGGTGAACATATGAGACTTCTTTCAATAACATTATAAAGTTAGAATTTTTCCTTATTATTCATTTCCTTGTTAACTTTTTATTTCAATGCAATCCTCTGATGCATTAGAAAAAATCTTAATTATTCCAAACTTTTGAATGTATATTAGTGTATACGCATTAATGCATGTATTTCTTATTCTCTACTCACCCTGAAGTCTATACCGACTGTTGAGATGAAGCTCCCAGCCAGAAACGCTCCATCTTTAAAGCGAACCAGCAGACAGGTTTTCCCCACCCCAGAGTCACCAACCAGCATTACCTGGAGAGAAAGACATATGAAAGATGGAGCAGAACACACAATCTATCCCATCATCTCTCCTCTCATCTTCCCTGCCTCTTATTCATTCTATTAACAACCTCTCATCTTTCCATCAGTGCCTCAATCAAACTAGGCCTCATTCCCTGCAGCACTTAAAAGACTTCTTCAAGGCCGTAAAGATTAAAGGCAGGAATAAAATAAATATGATAAAATAAGGTAGTTGCAAGGAAACATTGTTTCATTTAGTTTAACTTGATGTATTAAAACAATTAAAACTGAAATAAAAACTATACAGACATAAAATATAAAAACAATAAAAATACATTACAAAAAGTTACAAAAAAATAATAAATAACAACAAAATGACTAAAACTTTAAAATTAAAATTAAAACAGAAAATATAAAAATTACTTTAAAAATTTAGAGAGAGAGAGAGAGAGCGAGATTTCATACATTAGAATGTGTCCCATTTTATTTTTAAGAGCAAAAAATAATTACTGTGATACATTTTTACCATGATTTAAAGGAAAAATAAACTTCAGTGTAGCAATCGTTTGTATACCAAACATTTCAGGCATATTTAGCACAAGATTCATTAGATGTTTTAAATCATTTAAAATATAATAAAATTTAGTATGATTTAGTCACAAAATGTAGTCACTTATTCTTTTATATATTTTAATAAATACAGGTAAGAATAATAATGTTGTTTCATTTTTACATCAATATATGCGTCACGCTGAATGACCATGGAACATTATTTCACCCATAATTTGGACATTTTATTTTCACAAAAGTTATTTGAAAGATGTAGACACTTTACTTGCATTTAATATGCTTTCTGTGGATATAAAATCAGTTTTGTAAATTGAATTTGATGCAGGCACCAGAATGGGACGTCTGTAATAAAACTAATAGCATATCAATAATACTAAAATAACACTGAAGTAAACAGATTTTGCTGTGTATAAAACTATTTAGACTTCATTTCTAAATAAATTCACTGTTAGGCTTTTGGATTGATTCCCCTCAAACTTGTGATGCACAAGCAAGCTCAGGTGTCTCATTAAAGTCTCATTTAAAAACCTACTTGATCATTTTTCATGAACAGCATTGATTGTTTTCAGTTTAGAAGATAATTATTTTAGGAATATTTACAACTGCTGGTGGTAGTTGAAGAGATTTCTTCCTACAAATGTAATGAATTAAATGAAAAATGAATTAAATGAAATGCAGCGTAATATGAGTAGAAATTTCTAGTTTGGGGTACTTGAGTCTCACTGATGGAGTTGTGAGGTACAAAACAGGTTAGTAAACACTGGTTTAAGTTTATGGAGCTGCAGATCAGTTTAAAGCTATTCTTGCTCCATTGCACTGTGCACTCGTGAATGACTGCTGAGCTGACCATTCCTGACTGCACTTGATGCCATTTAATGAATAAGCTATGCATATGATTCATCAAGGAGGGACTATATAAATGCATTATTCAACAGATCAAACTGTCTTCCACATCAGAGTCACCTAAACATTTCAGCTTAAAGCTCAAAACATCTTATTATGCAGAATGTGGCTGGAGAAATCAGAATACGTCAGTGCAAGTAAGTGTAAGTAAGTGAGTCAGGCTGGATAACCCAGTTGCTGTGCTCCAGCTTATCTGTATTGACACAGCTGTTCAATTAGAGCAGGTGCTTAACTTCAGTCAAACAGAGCACGTAATTCTTGTCCATATGGGGCGGCTGGATAGCATTGCATTGTTTTTAAATACTGCTGTGGCACAAATACAAGTCACAATCTAGTGAAGCAGCACACAATCATCAGAGCTATGAAATATAAATTGTATAACACAGTTGCCATGTTTATGCTGGCAAACTATTTATGCATATGCATACAGATGTATGGCAAGCCATTTTCCCCTTTAACATGTAATAGCGAAAACTTATTTTCTACTGTTAATGTTATTAGTGCTTATCTTTCAATATTATTAAGTAATCAAATAGTAACTAGTGTCTATTCAACAACTGGACTTAGTGACACATTGCCTAGGTACTAGCTAGAATTGGAATATTTAATATCTTCTGAATGGTTAGTGAAATTCAAATTCTAGTAGTCACTGAAAATACTTATCAGTAAATAAAGAAAATACTATTACTAGTTGTAATAGAATAGTTACTTGATACTATTGAGATACTGACTAGTAGAAAGGGGATAAGTACTAGTATGGAATGAATGAGAACTAGTGACAAATTGAATCGATACAGTTAGAATTGGAAAATCAGACTAAATGGTTAGTGAACTAGTCACTGTAAAAATAAAAACACTCTATTACCAGTTACAATGGAAGAGTTACTTGATACTATTGAATGACTAATAGAAAGGGAATAAGTACTAGTTGTAATGTATGAGAACTAGTGACCAGCTGAATAGATAATAGTTAGAATAATCTGCATCTTCTAAATGGTTAATGAAATTCAAATATACTACTAGTCCCTGAAATTACTAGTATATCAGAATGAGCTTTATTGCCAGGTATGTTTACACATACGAGGAATTTGTTTTCGTGACAGAAGCTTCCACAGTGCAACAGAATGACAGTGACAGAACAAAAAAACACAGATAATAAAAAATAAAAATAAATACAAAAAAAAAATAGAACAAGTAAATAAGGAATAAAACTATACAAATCGACAATTGTATGTACAGGTATATAACAATAGACAGTTGTATGTACAGGTATATTATGTTCAAATTGAAATGTAGACTGAGTATGTGTGTTAGATAAATACGTGTATGAGTGAATAAATAGTGTGTGTTCCACAGTTATTGTCAAGTGTTCATGAGATGGATTGCCTGAGGGAAGAAACTGTTCCTGTGTCTGGCCGTTCTGGTATAGGCTATAAAAATACTATTATCAGTTACAATGGAATAGTTACTTAATACTACTGAGATCATGACTAGTAGAAAGGGAATAAACACTGAATAAAAACTAGCCTAGTGAGAAACTGAATAGATACCAGTTGAAATTTTTAATAATTTGCATCTTCTAAATGGTAAATGAAATTCAAATATACCATGGTATTGCAATGGAACAATGGAATAGTTAGGCTACTTGACACTAGTGAGATTAGTTAGAGCTAGTAAAAAGGGAATAAGTGCTAGTATGTAATGGACGCTCTGAAATGTTATTTAGTGGATATATTCAAACACTAGTAACATAAAAACAAATAAAGGACTACATGTATAAACCGCTTGCCATACTGCATTGGGTTCGCGTTGTTGAAAGCGGCTTTGTCGTGTACCTTGAATGCGATGTCGTAGAATTCCCCGCTGCTGCTGAGAGAGGGTCTGCTGGGATGCACCACTCCGTTGGACTGGGTCGGGACTTTCTTACCCTTCTCTTTATCGCTGTTCGGAGATGAGCTCGGTGTATTTGAACCCACCTTTCCGTTGACCGCTTTTTTCCTCGACATTATGATTGCTTATTCCCCGTGCAACGAGTAATTAATGAGCACCGAAGCGCGCGCTCTATCCGGTTCACTTCTCCCGTTGTCTGTTTCTTAGTAAGCGTGAATTAACTTTTCATCAATAAGCGCGCATGACTTAAGGGCTCCGTCAAATAAAGAGTGCGTGCAGCGCACCTGCTTCCACGGCTCGCAATGTCGCTCCGTTTTACGCAACTGGTCCGACAATTAGTTGTTGTTGTTGTTGTTTTAGAAAAGAAAAAGCGTCTCCGATCCCTGCCTCCCGAACGCACCTGTGCGGCTGCTCTGAAAGGGAGAATTCACCTCCCTCTAAGCAGCGTAGTACTGCACGCGCGCAGGGCGCATTGTCAACAATCAGTGGAAGTGTTGGCCAACGCAAACGCTCGCGCTCACTCTCCACTTGTTGGAATGCAAAGCTCCCTTAAAGGCGCAGTGTTATTTTGAACGCACACCAGGATTAGTTTTAGTCAGGGGTCTCCAGTGTCCTGCAGACTTCAGCTCCAAGCCTAATCAAACACACCTGAACCAGCTAATCAAGGTCTTACTAGGCATACTAGAAACGTCCAGGCAGGTGTGTTGAGGCAAGTTGGAGCTAAACTCAGGACCCCGGCCCTCCAGGACCGAGTTTGGAGACCCCTGGTTTTAGTCATGATGGCTTGACAATTAATGAACCAAGTTATTAGGAATTTTTAAACACCATTTTTTTTACTTACTGTAGTAGATCAGACAGTATCCCGGTAAGCCCGTTTCTGCCACGGAAAAAAACATTTTCTCACAATTTGCTGTTTATTTCTCACAGTCTTGAAAAATCAGAATTGCGAGATATAAATGCACAATTGCAAAAAAAATTAATTCAGAATTATGAGATATAAACTCATAAGTGTGAGATTCAGAATTGCTAGATTTAAAAGAATTGTGAGTTATAAACACAATTGTGAGAGAAAAAAAAGAGTCAGAATTGCAAAATAGAAACTGACTTTCTTGCAATTCTGAGTTTACATATCTCTTATTATTTCTAAAAATGCTGATACTTTTCTCGCAATTCTAAAAAACAAGTCAGAATTACTATACGGTAAAATAGAATTATTGCAAGATATAAACTTGCAATTGAGAAAAAAAGTAAGAATTGTGAGATATAAATTTGCATTTGTGAGAAAAATGCCTGAATTGAGATAAAAAAGTTGCAATTACCTTTTTTATTTATTTTTTTCATTCCATGGCAGAAATAAATAACTACAAGAAATATAAACTCAGAATTGCAAGAAAGTCTGTTTCTATTTTGCAACTCTGACTTTTTTCACCACAGAAAAATATTCTGTGTCGTACAACTGTGAGGAAAAAAAATTACAATTACCTATTTGTATTTATTTTATTTATTTATTTTATTTTTTTGTGGCGTAAACAGGTTTCCATACTTTGGATAAAATCATCTGCCAAATGCATTATTGCTCAAGGTCAGTTTAATAGTACAGTGCTCTCATATTGTGAAAGGAACAGAAAAAATAACAAGATGTTTAGGCTGCATATCTTACAGACAAGCAAGCATAAACGCCTTGGCCGGAATTAGCTATAAACTGAACCAGACTTTATGACGACAGTCAAAAGTCTGACTATGTGACTCTATTGAAGATATGACTCATGGTGAAATGTGAACAATATAACACCGGTTTTTCATCACAGAGCCTTGCATTAGCTTCAGGACATGTATAGCCACTAGTGACTCACATGACTAAAAAAATAGCTCTTATTTGTCTTAATCATAATGAGGAATAATTCCTTGGAAATTAAAAAATAGATATGTATGTGCTTGTTATCTGCAACCTTAAGATTTCCTTCTTACCATCTGCTGCTTTCATGAAATGCACTAAATGACGATGATCCCACAAAGGTCATTTTTAGCCTACACCTGTCACTCGGATCAGTTGCTATAGTTACACTCTAATTGAATTTTTCCTTTCTCAGGCTCCGTCTAACATATCAGACTTGGAGGACCTGGAGACATGTTAGGAGACATGCTGTCCCTTCCCAATAGAATTAATGGACTCGAGTCCTTCCTTTCTGTGTCGGTGCAAATAAAGGATCTGTCCAGTGGCTATAATGGCTCCACCTAAATGAGGTGGGATAATTAGCAGAAACAGATGCTCAGAGACTGTGAGAGATCTCAGATGCTCAGAGACGGTCAGGCCACACTGATGGTCAGTCTTACGTCTGTGGACTCCAGCGATGCCAACTGACGCTCATTACACTCAACAGTTCAGAACTGCAGCTTATTCCTGAAGATGTGATGATCTGCTGGATCTGCTGGAGAATCTAGATCCAGAAAGGATGCAACCCACTTCAGGAGGATTATATTATATTACATTCTGATTTTTAAGAACAATTGTTCTTCCATATCCAAATCCAGAAAGGATGCAACCCACTTTAAATTAGCGGTTATTCTACTATGTCTTATTTATATCTTGTCAACTGAGTACTTTAAATCTCTCTCTTAAAATGTATTACTAGCTCACTGAAGTCCTATAAAAAATAAAAAATAATAAAAAAAATTAACAAACTTTAGGACAATTTCGCATATAGTTCTGTGTAACTGAGAAATGGCAGGACAGGAATAATAGACTGAAATGAGTGTTAATTTAGTATTATTAATTTTAATTTATTTTCCATTATACTTAAAATGTAGAATTTATTAATGCAACAAAATATTACTATTTAATCATGCCCCCTGACCCGTATATTCCATAACAAGGTTTAATATACCAACCTTCCTAAGCAAATACTGATCAATTAGCTAGTATATTATTTCATACTATTCATTGTGATTCATTTCTGATTTTGGTTTGATTGACAGCTCTGTTTGAAACAGGCTTTGGGAGAAGAGAGGAGTCGTGTGCTGCAGGAGCTGATGATGTCTGTCAGCAGACTTCAATTTATGTTTCATGCTCTCTGTGTATGTATTGTCTATTTTAGGTTTTCTATTTTTACACTGCTCTTTTTATGCTTGCTTTATCCACTGCAGTTTCTAGCTCAAAGCAGCTGTGCATCACACACCAATCAGTACTGTACATGCCCATATCTGCATGCATTGTCTGTATTTATTATTGATTTGTTAAAGTGTTTGTATTTATATCCTGTGTGTGCCGGTGCTTGTCTTTCAAAAACCTGTACCATGAGTACAAGAGACACTACATGTTGTCAAAGGTTTGCCATTATACTGTTAATATTTGACCAAAACGGATGCAAATGGGAATTAATTTTATGTCAATTAAAATACAATCTTTATTGTTATTATTATTAGTCTCCTTTTGTCTTTAATCTGGAGCGAGGAACGACTAGCAAGATCTGTTTGGAGGATCTCAAGGTTGCAACAACTCATTTATATAAACAGGAGCTTGACCATGCAGCGCTCTAAACACCAACACAAGAACTTTAAACTGAATTCTATATTTGACCGGGAGCCAATGTAAAGTAATTAAAACTGGTGTTGCGTGAGATCTCTTTGATGACTTGGTTAAAAGCTTAGCAGCAGCATTTTGAACCGCTTGTAATCATTTCAGGGATGAATTAATAAGACGTGTAAAAAGAGAGAGGAGGGAGGAAATAAAAGCATGAATGATCATCTCCATCTCCACTGTTGACACACATGGCCTCAATCTGGCAATGTTTCTCAACTGATGAAAACTTTACCATTTAAAAGAAGAGATGATGTTGTAATTTCATGGGGCTTAAAAGAGATATAAAGTTGAATATCATCTGCAAATTAATATACTGTTTATTGAAAATTTGACCAAAATGTCTGGAAATGGGAATCATTCAATTTGTTTTTAGGGAATAATAATAATTATTATTATTATTATTATTATTATTATTATTATTATTATTATTATTATTATTATTATTATTATTATTATTATTATTATTATTATTATTATTATTATTATTATTATTATTATGTAGTAGTAGTATTTATTAATTATTCATAATAATAATAATAATAATAATATGTTCATTGAAATTTTGACGAAAATGGCTGGAAATGGGAATAAGTTGATTCGTATTAAAATTATTAAAATTAAGAAAATTGAATAAAATAAATAAAATAAAATAATAATAGCATTATTATTATTATTATTATTATTATTATTAATATACTGTTAACTGAACATTTGACGGAAATAGCTGGAAATAGGAGCAATTAAATTATTTTTTAAGGAATAAGAAAATATTAAATAATAATAGTACTATTATTTGTTGATGTTGTTAATAATAATAATAATAAAAGATGAAAAAAGTTTTGATTAAAAATTTGACTGAAAGAGCTGAAAATGGAAATCATTTACAGTTTTTCTCGATTATGAGCAAGAGCAGTAAGGAGTGGAGGAAGAGGTGAAGGAAGAGGAAGAGGAAGAGGATGAGGATGAGGATGAGGATGAGGGGCAAGGAGAAAAGGAGTCTCAGATGAAATTCGTGCCACTAGTTGACCATGTCCTTATCCATGGTATGACTATGAGGGAGGCTGGGCAATGAGTTCAGTCAAACTTAAATTGCTTCACCGTCGCCTCGATCATAAGAACCTTCAGGGAGGAAAACAGGTAGGTGTACCTCAGTGTACTCTACTGTAACTTTTGAGTGCTGTACTCTGTTACAACACATGCATCAAATTGCCTTACATACAGATAGAGTTTCTGTCTGCTTCATATTTTGTAAAAAGGATGTTACAGTTACAGTAATCCGTACTTCTATTTTTGTAGGACACAGAGACGATGGAATGGAAGAAGCCTGACTAGACA